TACTAGTACGAGCGCGTGCGAGCGCTCGCGTACTAGTACGAGCGCGTACGAGCGCGTACGAGCGCTCGCGTACTAGTACGAGCGCTCGTGTACTAGTACGAGCGCGTACGAGCGCGTACGAGCGCGTACGAGCGCGTACGAGCGCTCGCGTACTAGTACGAGCGCTCGTGTACTAGTACGAGCGCGTACGAGCGCTCGTGTACTAGTACGAGCGCGTACGAGCGCTCGCGTACTAGTACGAGCGCGAGCGCGTACGAGCGCTCGCGTACTAGTACGAGCGCGAGCGCGTACGAGCGCTCGCGTACTAGTACGAGCGCGAGCGCGTACGAGCGCGAGCGCGTACGAGTACGAGCGCTCGTGTACTAGTACGAGCGCGTACGAGTACGAGCGCTCGTGTACTAGTACGAGCGCTCGTGTACTAGTACGAGCGCTCGTGTACTAGTACCAGCGCGTACGAGTACGAGCACTCGTGTACTAGTACGTGCTCGTACGCGCTAGTATGTGCTCGTACTAGTACGCGCTCGTACCTGCTCGTACTAGTATGCGCTCTTCGAGTGCTTGCGAGCGCGTACTAGTACTAGTACATGCTCGTACGCGCTCGTATTACTAGTACGCGCTTGTACGTGCTCGTACTAGTACGCGCTCGTACTAGTACGCGCTCGTACCTGCTCATACTAGTACGCGCTCGTTGAGTGCGTACGAGCGCGTACGAGTGCGTACGAGCGCGTACGAGTGCGTGCGAGCGCGTACTAGTACGTGCAAGTACGTACGAGCCCATACGAGCGCATACGAGGGCGTACTAGTACGAGTGCGTACGAGCACGTACGAGTGCGTACGAGCACGTGCGAGCACGTACGAGCACGTGCGAGCACGTACGAGCGCGTACTAGTACAAGCGCGTACGAGCGCGTACTAGTACAAGCGCGTACTAGTACAAGCGCGTACGAGCGCTCGTACGCACTCGTACGTGCGCGTACGAGCGCTCGTACATGCTCGTACTAGTACGCGCTCGTACGTGATCGTGCTCGTACGCGCTCGTACTAGTACGCGCTCGTACTAGTACGTGCTCGTATGCGCTCCTATGCACTCGTATGTGCTCGTACTAGTACGCGCTCGTACTAGTATGTGCTCGTACGCGCTCGTACTAGTACGTGCTCGTACGCACTCGTATGTGCTCGTATGTGCTCGTACTAGTACGCGCTCGTACCTGCTCATACTAGTATGCGCTCGTCGAGAGCGTACGGGCGCATACTTGTACGCACTCGTCGAGAGCGTACGGGCGCTTACGCACTCGTAGGCGCTCGTACTAGTAGTACGCGCTCGTACTAGTAGTACGCGCTCGTACTAGTAGTACGCGCTCGTACTAGTAGTACGCGCTCGTA